TCCCAGATCTTTCTCTCTGTCCGTTTCGGTAGGACTTTCATCTCCATTCGGCATCCAGTGACTGGCCTCCTAGTTCCTCCTCCTAGTTTCATTACCTTACATTTACTTGGGTTGAACTTTAGTAGCCATTTGTCAGACCATTCCTTCAGATTGTCTAGGTCATCTTGTAACCTCATACTATCCTCCTCTGACCTGATCCTCCTCATAATTTTCGCGTCATCAGCAAACATCGAGAGGAATGAGTCAATTCCTTCTGGAAGATCATTTACATATATCAGAAACAGTATAGGTCCAAGGACTGATCCCTGTGGGACTCCACTGGTGAGTCCCCGCCACTCCGAGACCTCACCTCTCACGGTGACTCGCTGTGTCCTGTTGCTTAGGTACTCTCTTATCCAGTGGAGTACCTTCCCTTTCACTCCTGCCTGCATCTCCAGTTTGTGCACTAGTCTCTTATGTGGTACTGTGTCAAAAGCTTTCTGGCAGTCCAGAAATATGCAGTCTGCCCAGCCCTCTCTCTCTTGTCTGATTTTTGTTGCCTGGTCATAGAACTCAATTAATCCTGTTAGGCATGATTTGCCATCTCTGAACCCATGTTGATGTTGTGTTACAATGTTCTTTTGCTCCAGATGTTCCACTAGCTTTTTTTGCACAATCTTTTCCATCATCTTGCATGGAATGCAAGTTAGGGACACTGGCATGTAGTTCAGTGCCTCCTGCCTATCACCCCTTCTTATATATTGGGACTACATTGGCCGTCTTCCAAATATTTGGCAGTTCGCCTGTTATCAGTGACTTGTACACTATGGAGAGTGGTAGGCACAGAGCCTCTGCTCCTTCCTTCAGGATCCATGGTGAGATTCCATCCGGGCCTATAGCCTTTGTCACGTCCAAATCAAGCAGATGCTTCTTCACCTCCCCACTGGTAATCTCAAACTCCTCTAGTGGTGTCTGGGTTGGTGTTCCCTCTCTTATCTCTGGGACTTCTCCTTGCTCGGTGAAGACTTCCTGGAATTTCTTATTGAGTTCCTCGCACACTTCCTTGTCGTTTGTAGTGAATCTTTCTGCCCCTATCCTCAGTTTCATTACCTGTTCCTTCACTGTTGTTTTCCTCCTGATGTGGCTATGCAGCAGTTTGGGTTGAGTCTTTGCCTTGCTCGCTATGTCATTTTCATATTGCCTCTCTACCTCTCTTCTCACCCTGACGTATTCATTCCTGGCGCTCTGGTATCTTTCTCTGCTCTATAGTGTTCTGTTGTTTCTATAGTTTCTCCATGCCCTTTTACTTAGCTGCTTTGCTAGCTTGCAACTCTGATTAAACCGTGGGTTTCTCATTTCCATTTCATTTTTTTCCTTTTGGACTGGGACGTACTTGTCTGCTGCCTCCTTACACTTCTGTGTGATGTAGTCCATCATGTCTTGAACCGTCTTTCCTCTGAGCTCTGTTTCCCAAGCTATTTCAGTTAGGAGTTTTCTCATCTCCTCATAGTTTCCTTTCTGGAATGCCGGCCTCTTGTTTTCTGGTCCCTTCCTTGAGTACATTAATCCTTCTTCGACCAGACATTCAAACAACAGTACACTGTGATCACTCATACCCACGGGGGCTTCAAGACCGATTTCCCTTATGTCTGAATCGTTCAGAGTGAATTCTAGGTCGAGTCTTGCTGGTTCATCATTGCCTCTCATTCTCGTGGGACCCTTGACATGCTGACTTAAAAAGTTTCTAGTCGTCACCTCTAGCAGCTTCGCTCTCCATGTTTCCTCACCTCCAAGTGGTTCTCTGTTTTCCCAGTCTATCCTTCCATGATTAAAGTCCTCCATGATGAGCAGATGGGATCGGTTTCTACAGGCAGCAGCGGCTGCTCTCTCAATGATAATATTAATTGCCATGTTGTTTCTGTCATACTCTTGCCTGGGTCTTCTTTCATTTGGTGGTGGGTTATATATCACTGCTACTACTACTCTTGGTCCTCCCATCGTCATGGTGCCTGTGATGAAGTCTCTGAACCCTTCACAGTCCGGAACAACCATCTCCTCGAAACTCCATTCCTTTCTCATCAGTAGAGCCACTCCGCCTTCTCCCCTTCCTTCCCTCTCTTTCCTTATTACAGTGTAGTCCTGGGGAAACACCGCATTCGTTATGATTCCTGAGAGTTTTGTTTCTGTGAGTCCAATTACATCTGGGTTTGCTTCTTGTGTTCTTTCCCTAAGTTCACTGGCCTTGTTTATAATCCCAACTGTGTTCGTGTACATGACCTTGAAGCTGACTCTCTTCTGTCCATTCTCAGTTTCTGTTGATTCCACTGGAGTTGGGGGGCAAGGGATGTCTGGGATGGGTGAGCCTAGGATGGGGGACCTGGGAGGTCTGGGGTGTGAGAGGGCTGGGAAGGTCTGGAACAGGGGGGCTAGGGGGGGGGGCTGTCGTGAAGTGGCCGAGGGGGTCCGGGGTTGGGGATTAGTTGGGTCATGTGATGGGGGAGCTGGAGGGGCATGTGGTGGGAGGTTACGGGTTGGGGTATGCAGGGTAGACTGGGGTGGGTTGACTGGGAGGTCAGGGGTTGGCAAGGGGAGGGGAGCCTGGGAAGGGGGGCCGGGAGGGAGGGGGGTGGGGTAGGGAGGAGAACTTGGGATGGGGAAACTGGGAAGGGCATGGGGTGCAGGAACAGTGAAAATCTGGGGTAGGGGCTGGGGGAGAAAACGAGCATGGGGGGAACATGGGGGGTCTGGGATCGGGGAACATGGGGGGCATGGTCTGAAGGGGGACTTTACTGTCTGGGGAGGTGCAGGTGATTGGTGGGAGATGGCTGAGGGGTTGGTTGGTGGGAGGCTTCTGTTACAATCCTCCCTCGGGATGCTGGTCTGCTGGTGGGGGGATTCCCACTCCCTTCTGAGGTTCCTGGAGACACGGAGCTAAGTCCTGTGGCTCCCATATCCCTACCCCTTTCTCTGCATCTCCTTCTTGTTTCTGCAGCCTTCCTTCTCTCCTCCCTTGTCATGTCCCGTTGCAAAAAGACGTCCTCGTATCTCCCTAACCTCACAAGTCTGGTCTTCCTGGATAGGATTTTCTCCCTTGTTGCCTGCGTTTGCGTGCTTTCGTGCGTGTGCCTTTGTAGGGGGGGGAGATGCGTGGGAAACTGGGGGGTGGGAGGGGGCAGAGATGGTCACTTCAGGTCAGGTGGTCAGATGTGTGTGTGTGTGTGTGTGTGTGTTTACTAGTTGTGTTTTTGCGGGGGTTGAGCTTTGCTCTTTCGGCCCGCCTCTCAACTGTCAATCAACTGTTTACTAACTACTAACTTACTAACTACTTTTTTTTTTTCCCCACACCACACACACACACACACCCCAGGAAGCAGCCCGTGACAGCTGACTAACTCCCAGGTACCTATTTACTGCTAGGTAACAGGGGCACTTAGGGTGAAAGAAACTTTGCCCATTTGTTTTTGCCTCGTGCGGGAATCGAACCCGCGCCACAGAATTACGAGTCCTGCGCGCTATCCACCAGGCTACGAGGCCCCTGGAGTGTGTGTATGTGTATGTGTGTGTGTGTGTATGTGTGTGTGTGTGTGTGTGTGTGTGTGTGTGTGTGTGTGTGTGTGTGTGTGTGTGTGTGTGTGTGTGTGTGTGTGTCTGTGTGTGTGTGTGTGTCTGTGTGTGTGTGTGTGCGTGTGTGTGCGTGTGCATGCGTGCGTGCGTGCATGCCTGCGTGTGTGTAAGGCTCAAATATATACATTGACTTACCTCATAGAAGAAAGACATGTTTCTTCTTTTTCTATCCGGGTCATCTGATTTCTTTTGCTCCTGCTCGTCCTTCCTGCGTGGGTCAATAAGTTCCGTGATGAAATCTATGTCTTTTTTTTTCAAACCCTCACTTTCAAACGTTTTCTTCATGCTATTATATATGTCCTCAAATATATGCACTGACATATTTTCATGCTGCAAATACACAAACACAGGCATTAATATTAAAACAAACAGGGAAAAGGCAACTATTTTTCAACAGGTATTTAAAAACCTTTCCATTCATATATGGAACGCTTAAATTTTAATGAACACAATATATTTTAATTTTGATCATTTAACATTAATTATAGGGACAGGGCCATTAATATATTGACGACTGCAAGAGAATGGTTTCTCAAGATTTCTCTACAACTGACTTGAGTGGCATCCAGCAGTGCAGAGTGCGCCATGCATGCAACTAGTTTGCATTTGGTGACAATGTGAGATCGAGGTCACTTAGAGATGTTAGTATTAGTGTCAGTGAGTGACTCACTGACCTAGAGTAAACTAAGGAGAGTGCTGCTGCCTAAGTGCTTTTTCATGACTTTACTTCAGACACCTGTCAGAGGTAGAACAACTTAGTTTCCGCCACCACCTCCACCACCACTTAGTGTCCTGTCACTCGAATCTTCGACGTGCGTGTAGCCGCCAACCACCGCCAGGGCTTGTTTACCATGCTACGTGACGTCACTGCCTGCCCCACCCACTCGCCTCCTCGTGCGCTCTGTAGTTCAACCCGTTCTCGCACTTTCTTACAGTCAATATTGACTTATTAAATACGTGCATATGTGACATACTAAACATACTAGTTTACCTTGAAAAGCTTCATAGAAAACACCGACCTTACCTATCCTTCTTAGTATGTTAAGATAAGCATCTTATTGCTTCGTAATGTGTGTAAGGAGACTTGCCCACACGTCTCGCCCTGTTACAGGTTATTCATGCCCGTGCCATCTCATGGCTGACTTAATCTTCATCAATCATCAATCAATCTCGCCCTGCCTGGGATGTGTGGTTCCCACCCTGTACCCAGTGTGGTTCTGGGGAGTCTGTCTTGTGGGGAATTGACCTGTGAGATTTATATTTATTTAATTTATATAGTAATTTATATTTTACGTTAATTTTTATTTTCGATAGTAAACTGTTTGTTGTTTGAAGTGGACTGTATTTTTTTTAAATTCCCCCAAATCGATTTCCTTACACATTCAGTGGGGTTTATGGATTGTATGTAGTCAACAATATAAGTTACTGGTTAATAGACATTCTCTATAATATTAGATTACATATGTAACTTGAATTAACTACAGCTTATCTTGTATATAGTGGGTCTTGTCCACCAGAACAAGGATGATCACACTACATTGTGCTCGTGGCTGAGGCTGCATCAACACCATGTACTGGTGAACTAGGTAACTAGTGTTAATTCTTGTTCCTCTTCTGTTCCACCTGTCAAAGGGCACTCACAAATGATAGCAGTAATCCTAATATGACAGCTATATCAGGGGAAATAAAGTATATTGATTATGAGATAAGGACCAAGAAATATTTACCTTGGTTTTGTGTCTCGTTCACGCGCTAACCTGTTCACTCTATAACTAACTATAACATTTCTGATCAAGAATGAAACAGGTAATAAGCGAGTTTCGGAAAGAACACCTCCCTTATTGTAGACGATGCGCGCTGATAACGAGAACACGTAATCCCGTAACACTGGTGTCCAAGGGAAATTTCTGTGGAACTCGAAGTGAACTCCACTCGAGACTTTGTTGATAAATTTAATGGCTGCCTAAGGTCACCCTCCCCCTGACGCACCCCTTGGTCTCCAGATGGCACAAGTGGTTTGAGGGTCTACATTTACTCGATTTTGTTACTGATAATTAAGTTGAATTCAAGTGGAATGTTTTTATGATGATTTTATGATTTTTTTTATTTTATGATTTTATTTTTACAGTTCAAAGACTTCTGTATTATGAACGTTTCCCATTAATATAACTGGTGATTCTAATTGCGACATGTGGAAATGATATCCCGTTTTCTATTTGAGGAAATTTCCACTGTGTTTCATTTTCTATATGTTAATTTGAAAGTTGGTAAATAGTGTTGGTTTTCCGACCTGTGTTATTTACCTGCACGTGTGTGAGTATGAGATAATACTTGCGGTCAATGTACGTCTCCGGCACGTACCTCACCATGTCAAGCACGGTAATGTCAGGGAAGCCTGCAGTACTACTACGTTACCACGTGGTTCAAGAGTGTGAAGTTCCACGTGGTTCAAGAGTGTGAGTTTCCACGTTGTTCAAGAGTGTGAGTTTCCACGTGGTTCAAGAGTGTGAGTTACCACGTGGTTCAGGAGTGTGAGTTACCAGGTGGTACAAGAGCGCATGTTACCACGTGGTACAAGAGTGTGAGTTACCACGTGGTTCAAGAGTGTGAGTTACCAGGTGGTACAAGAGCGCATGTTACCACGTGGTACAAGAGTGTGAAGTTCCACGTGGTACAAGAGTGTGAGTTTCCACGTGGTACAAGAGTGTGTTACCACGTGGTACAAGAGTGTGTTTCCACGTGGTACAAGAGTGTGAGTTTCCACGTGGTACAAGAGCGCATGTTACCACGTGGTAAAAGAGTGAGTTACCACGTGGTACAAGAGTGTGTGTTAACACGTGGTACAAGAGTGTGTTACCACGTGGTACAAGAGTGTGTGTTACCACGTGGTACAAGAGTGTGAGTTTCCACGTGGTACAAGAGTGTGTGTTTCCACGTGGTACAATAGTGTGTGTTACCACGTGGTACAAGAGCGTGAGTTACCACGTGGTACAAGAGCGTGAGTTACCACGTGGTACAAGAGTGTGAGTTTCCACGTGGTAAAAGAGTGTGTGTTTCCACGTGGTACAAGAGCGTGTGTTACCACGTGGTACAAGAGCGTGAGTTACCACGTGGTACAAGAGCGTGAGTTACCACGTGGTACAAGAGCGTGTGTTACCACGTGGTACAAGAGCGTGTGTTACCACGTGGTACAAGAGTGTGAGTTACCACGTGGTACAAGAGCGTGAGTTACCACGTGGTACAAGAGCGTGTGTTACCACGTGGTACAAGAGTGTGAGTTACCACATGGTACAAGAGCGTGAGTTACCACGTGGTACAAGAGCGTGTGTTACCACGTGGTACAAGAGCGTGTGTTACCACGTGGTACAAGAGCGTGTGTTACCACGTGGTACAAGAGCGTGTGTTACCACGTGGTACAAGAGTGTGAGTTACTACGTGGTACAAGAGCGTGTGTTACCACGTGGTACAAGAGCGTGTGTTACCACGTGGTACAAGAGCGTGTATTACCACGTGGTACAAGAGCGTGTGTTACCACGTGGTACAAGAGCGTGTTACCACGTGGTACAAGAGCGTGTGTTACCACGTGGTACAAGAGCGTGTGTTACCACGTGGTACAAGAGCGTGTTACCACGTGGTACAAGAGCGTGTGTTACCACGTGGTACAAGAGCGTGTGTTACCACGTGGTACAAGAGCGTGTTACCACGTGGTACAAGAGCAGAAGTACACTTACGTCGCATCAGGCTTGGATACCCATGTGCATGGGAAATAGGCTTACAGGTTCCGGAAGATGAGAGGAAATGTCAGCACTGTGGAGAAATGCCCGACAGACCACTGGAACATTATCTAACACGGAACACAGTTACAGTCACAACAGACGACTGGAATATTATCTGACACAGTGCACAGTTACATTCCAACTAAGATTTAAACCAAGATTCAACAGAACAGAAGAAGTTGTTAAACCCTTTGAGCATAATCCTACTGAAGCTACGATACGAGTCAGAAATACTCATACTCCGCCCAAGTAAAACCTGTAACAAAAAACACGTAACACTTAGTGGGCCAGCCAGATGCTCAGGGCTCGCGCACTAACCACAACCTTCATCGTTGTAACCATCTATACTAAACACAACTCTCAGAACTGTAACTATCTCCATTAAACACGACCTTCATCACTGTAACCAGCTACACTAAATGTTGGAAATTCTGACACTAACCTTCTAACATTACTGACCGCCATAAGATTTTGCCAATTTACATTAGCGATAAAAAGACAACAGAGAATGGGAAAGGCCGGTACAATCAGATTTCGTCACACAATTCAGCTAACTAATGTTCTTTTAAACATCTTCCAGTTTCAGAACTGGCAACACAATAAACAAATTATTGGGATTAATCATATATTCAATAATAATCAGTAGTTAAATATACTAAATAAGCTACTTCTCTCGAAACAAAACGAACCGGTTCTGGACATGTCCAGAGGGGAGGGAGAAGGAGGCAGCCATATTGTAAACAAAACAGCCATGTTGTGTGTGTGACTAGAGTGCACTATCTTGGGGAGTTGATACGTCACGAGGTTGTTGAGTTGACAATGAGTATACTACGTGACCACTATAACTCTACCAGCAAATCCCAAAGGGCAACGTGACTCACATTAGTCACTAATTGTTACAAACCTAAGGAAATTGCCATTTCGGTTAGTCTATTAGCTCAGATATATTTGGCAAATTATTCTGTGTCTAGAATTAATTTTTGGGACGTAGGACAACAATACCACAAGAGTAAGCCCTCGTTTTATAATACAAAATTTCTTCCCTGATATATGCGGTATATAGTAGTAGCAGGTTACTACTTATTAGTTACTCGAGAGGTGCAGCCCAAGGGAAGAAGAAATTAAATGGAGTCGTCCTAGTGCAAGTGGAAACATTCAAGATCACCATTAGGGCTTAAACCAATGAGTTTCGTCTATGTGACATGAGTTTGTCAATGTGACAGTGCCTATTACTAAGCTATACTCTACCTACCGGATAAGAGTCTACTGTTATACTAACCCACTTTAGAAGTAGTATTAACAATAATAATTCAATAGTTTATTAACATTATCAATTATTTGATTAATAGGCTACGTACATAACTCCCCCCCCCCCCCCACCACATATGAGATCAGCTAAACACGTAGCAGGATAAATTAATAAATATACAATCCACTTTGAAGTATTAATTATCTATGAAAGTAAGTTAAAAAAATTATTAATTTAATACATAAATAAATTAACAAACAAAATCCTGCTGCGAAAATACCCCACACTAAGCCCGACCTTCATAAGAATAACCATCATCACTTCCCAACCACTTGGGCTGGACGGTAGGGCGACGGTCTCGCTTCATGTAGGTTGGCGTTCAATCCCCGACCGTCCAAGTGGTTGGGCACCTTTCCTTTCACCCGTCACATCCCAAATCTTTATTCTGACTCCTTCCAAGTGTTATATAGTCGTAAAGACTTGGCGCTTTCCCCTGGTAACTCCCTCCCTCCCAGTCATTCGCTCATTAACTAAACACAACCTTCATCACTGTGACCATCTACACAACACACAACCTTCATCACTGTGACCATCTACACAACACACAACCTTCATCACTGTGACCATCTACACAACACACAACCTTCATCACTGTGACCATCTACACAACACACAACCTTCATCACTGTGACCATCTACACAACACACAACCTTCATCACTGTGACCATCTACACAACACACAACCTTCATCACTGTGACCATCTACACAACACACAACCTTCATCACTGTGACCATCTACACAACACACAACCTTCATCACTGTGACCATCTACACAACACACAACCTTCATCTCACTAACCATCTATAATAATATGGAAGGAGTTATTTTTCTGGAGTCGAGAGAGAAAGGAAAGAGAAGCTGACGGACGTGTTTCCCGTATAGAACATCAACTGTGCCTAATTTTGTATTTTCCTATTGAATAATGCGATACAGATCATAATGGGACGAAGATAGTGCGCAAACCTGCAAATGACGAGATGCATGAGTGATGCTGCAAGGATCATTCCTTCGTGGGTAGGGAGTGGCACTGCATGTATCATACAACATGGAGAGTGGTTAGTGATGCAGAGTGTATCATACAACATGGAGAGTGGTTAGTGATGCAGAGTGTATCATACAACATGGAGAGTGGTTAGTGATGCAGAGTGTATCATACAACATGAAGGATGCGAGGCATAGCGCCATGCATCACACAGAGGACAAGTATTCACAGCATTTCCTTACACAAAAGTTTGCATCTTGATTGGCAGCTCTGATGAAAGCCTCCCAGCAGTGGCTGAAGGGTCCGTGGCCGAGGTCGTGGCAGAGGGCGGCCACCTTCACACACAACACGTCCTTCTCGCTGACCATGTCTGGGTGCTCCTGCTGCAGGTGCTCCACCATCTGGCCCGCTAAGTAACACGTGCTGGCCGAGCAGGGAGTGAAGCACACGTTAACACCATCATACAGGCATCTTCCTCATCTCCTACACCTCGTATATATGTTGCTTGGAAACATATTTATGAGACACGCAATTAAAAGGAAAATCAGAATTAAAAAGAAGTTTTAAAAATAAATACAATTCCAATGGCCTTATGAACCAAAGTCAATTAGTAAAAAAAGCGGAATGATCAGATGTTTGGGAGTTTGGCAAGTAGGCAGTGGTCAGGGCCAGTCTCTCAGACACATAGTAGTCAGGGCCAGTCTCTCTATTCTGCATCTCTCTGAGATGCAGAATAGTCAGGACAGTCACTACTCTCACACGCACAGAATAGTCAGGGCCAGTCATTACTATCAGACACAGAATAGCCTGCTCCAGTCACTACTCTCAGCAGAGATGTATACAATGTATACATATACAATGTATACATCACATACAATGTATGTATGTGATGTAACTATATAACCTGAGCTTGCAAAAGCATCTTAATCATCCTCAGTGGTTAAGTGTTTAATAACACACTAGTTTCTCTATCAGCTATCTTACCCTATCAGAGTAGGAGAGACATAAATGTATACACACCTAATTGTGCTTGGGGGGGTTGAGCTCTGGCTCTTTGGTCCCGCCTCTCAACTGTCAATCAACTGATGTACAGATTCCTGAGCCTACTGGGCTCTATCATATCTACATTTGAAACTGTGTATGGAGTCAGCCTCCACCACATCACTTCCTAATGCATTCCATCTGTTAACTACTCTTGACACTGAAAAAGTTCTTTCTAACGTCCCTGTGGCTCATTTGGGTACTCAGTTTCCACCTGTTTCCCCATGTTCGCGTACCACCCGTGTTAAACAGTTTATCTTTATCTACTCTGTCAATTCCTCTGAAAATTTTGTAGGTAGTGATCATGTCTCCCATTACTCTTCTGTCTTCTAGTGTCGTGAGGTGCATTTCCCGCAGCCTTTCTTCGTAACTCATGTCTCTTAGTTCTGGGGCATATCTCTGAACTCTTTCAAGCTTCGCCTTGTGCTTGACAAGGTACGGGCTCCATGCTGGGGCCGCATACTCCTGGATTGGTCTTACATATGTGGTATACAAGGTTCTGAATGATTCCGTACACAGGTTCCTGAATTCAGTTCTGATATTAGCCAGCCTCGCATACGCAGCAGATGTTATTCTTTTGATATAGCTGTACCCAGACACGCGTTTCTGTGGCTCAGCAACAGCAACCCTTCCCCTGTCTCCCAGTCCTCCCCACTATTCCAACCTTTCCCCGTTCCCTCGTCCTCCCCACCATTCCTCACTCCCCCATCCCCTCGTCCTCCCCACCATTTCCTACCTTGCCCATCCCTATGTCCTCCCACTATCCACAACTCCACCGTCTCCTCGCCCTTCTAACCTTTTCGCACTCCACCATCCCCTCGTCCTCTCCACCATCTCCCACTCCCCCGTCCCCTTGAATTCCCCACCATCCCCCACTTCCCTGTTTCCTTGTCCTCCCCCACCAATCTCCATTCCCCTGTCCATTCGTCCCCATCATCCCCAACTTTCCCATTCCCTCGTCCTCCCCACCATTATCCCCTCCTCCTGTTCCCTTGTCCTTCCCACCATACCCAACTCCCATCCCCTCGTCCTCCCCACCATTCCCCACTCCCTCGTCAGATGCATTCCCAAATGATCTGATGTTCCCCTCAGAAAATTTGTAACATCAAATGATCTGATGTTCCCATCATTGAAAAATAAGAAAAAGAATTAAAAAATGAAAATGAAAAACAGTGAAAAATTAAAAAAAATAAACTATACTCATGAAATGAACGGTATGGTAAACAACAAATTTCAATTCCAACACAATGTCACTCAAAATAATTAAATCAAAATGAAAATAATTCAAAATCTATGAAAATTCAGATTATCAATGAATCTGGAAACATTGAAATGGAATCAAAATATATTTAGTACAGCGTGAGTTGCTCTTACGCGCAACAGATGGTGCCTTTTTAAAAACAAAAAAATGTTTTTACCTGTCACAGGTTTGGGATCTATACTTATACTTACGAAATGCACGGTATGGTAAACAACACAGCTCAATTCCAACATAATGTCACACAAAAATATTAAAGCAAAATTAAAATAAATAGAAAGTTATGAAAATTAAACTTATCAATGCAATTAGAAACATTAAAATGGAATTCATAACATATTTAGTATAGTGGGTGAGTGGCTATTACGGGCAACAGATGGTGCTGTTTTAGTAAAAAACATGTTTTTACCTATCACAGGTGAGGCATCAATATATAGTAGGTATATAAAAATACGTGCATATTCGAATGGAACGTTGTGTCAGAATTTCAAAGCAATCAGTAAATTGGTTTCGAAGATTTCTCTCACATGAAAAACACATGAAAAACATAGTTTTTCCAAAAAGATCATGTTTTTTTCCCATCACAGCCGTGAAAATAATATAGTATGTATATAAAAACTCGTTCGGATGCAAAAGGAACATTGTGTGAAAATTTCAAAGCAATCGATGCACAACTTTCGGAGATTATCCATTTTGAACAAACGAACATTTCATTTTTATTTATATACTAGCTGTACCCGGCCACGCGTTCTCAGCAACCTTCCCCTTCTCTCCCAGTCCTCCCAACCATTCCTCCCTTCACTGTTCCCTCGTCCTCCACACCATCCCCCACTCTCCTATCTCCTTATCCTTCCCATCCTTCTCCATTCCCCTGTCCCTTCGTCCCCACCATCCCAAACTCCCCTGTCCCCTTGTCTTCCCCCACCATTACCCCCTTCCATGTCCCGTCGTCATCAGTACCATCCCCCACTCCCATCCCCTTGTCCTCCCCACCATTCCCTACTCCCATGTCCAATGCATTCCCAAATGATCTGATGTTCCCATCAGAAAATTAGGAACATCAAATGATTTGATGTTCCCATCAATGAAATATAAGTAAAACAATTTAAAAACGAAATGAAAAAAATGAAGAAATAAAAAATAAACTATTCTCACGAAATGAATGGAATGGTAAACAAAAAAGCTCAATTCCAACGCAGTGTTACAAAATTGTTAAATCAAAATGAAAATAATTCAAAATCTACGTAAATTCAATTTATCAATGAAATTGGAAACCTTGAAATGGAATTGTAATATATTTAGAATAGCGTGAGTTGTTCTTACGTGCAACAGATGGTGCTGTTTTTCAAAAAGGCATGATTTTACTGTTACAGGTGTGTGACATCTATACTTAAACTCTCGAAATGAGCGGTATGGTAGACAACACAGCTAAATTTCAACGCAATATATCTCAAAATAGTTAAATCAAAATGAAAATAAATCGAAATATGAAAAGTTAATTTGTCAGTGCAATCGGAAAGTTTGAAATGGAATCGTAACTTATTTATTATAGTGTGTATGGCTCTTATGTGCAAAAGATGGCGCTGTTTGTTAAAAAAAAAAAATGTTTTCATCTTTTACATGTGTGGCATCTATACTTATACTTACGAAATGAACTGTGTGGTAAATAATACAGCTCAATTCCATCACAATGTCACACAAAATAATTAAATCAAAATTAAAATAAATCGAAATAAATGAAAATCAGTTTTAAAATGCAATCGGAAACATTGAAGTGGAAATCATAACATATTTAGTATAGTGTGTATGTTGCTATTACGTTCAACAGATGGCACTGTTTTTACTTTATATTATGTTTTAACCTGTCACAGGTGTGGCATCTATATAATTGGCATATAAAAACATGAGCACATTCGAATGGAACGTTGTGTCAGAATTTCAAAGCAATCAGTGAAAAACATTGGGAGAAAACAACGTGTGTTGCTCTTACGTCCAACAGATGGCGTTGTTTATAAAAATGCATGTTTTTTCCCGTCAGAGGTGAGACATGTATATAGTAAGTATATACAAACATGCACTTGTTCAAATGCAACGGTGTGTCAAAGTTTCAAAGCAATCGGTAAAGAGGTTTCGAAGATTTCTCTCGCATGAAAAACACAGTTTTTCAAAAAAGGCATGTTTTTTCCGGCACAGACGTGCCGGAAAATTTCAAAGCAATCGCTGAAGAACTTTCGGAGATTAGCGATTTTGAACAAGCGAACATTTACATTTATATATGTCGTACCTAGTAGCCAGAACGCACTTTTCAGCCTTCTATGCAAGGCCCGATTTGCCTAATAAGCCAAGTTTTCCTGAATTAATATATTTTCTCTAATTTTTTTCTTATCAAATGATAAAGCTACCCATTTCATTATGTATGAGGTCAATTTTTTTTTATTGGAGTTAAAATTAACGTAGATATATGACCGAACCTAACTAACCCTTCCTAACCTAACCTAACCTATCTTTATAGGTTAGGTTTATATATATATATATATATATATATATATATATATATATATATATATATATATATATATATACATATATATATATATATATATATATATATATATATATATATATATATATGTCGTACCTAGTAGCCAGAACTCACTTCTCAGCCTACTATTCAAGGCCCGATTTGCCTAATAAGCCAAGTTTTCCTGAATTAATATATTTACTATAATTTTTTTCTTATGAAATGATAAAGCAACCCTTTTCTCTATGTATGAGGTCAATTTTTTTTTATTGGAGTTAAAATTAACGTAGATATATGACCGAACCTAACCACCCCTACCTAACCTAACCTAACCTATATTTATAGGTAAGGTTAGGTTAGGTAGCCAAAAAAAGCTAGGTTAGGTTAGGTTAGGTAGGTTAGGTAGACGAAAAAACATTAATTCATGAAAACTTGGCTTATTAGGCAAATCGGGCCTTGAATAGTAGGCTGAGAAGTGCGTTCTGGCTATTAGGTACGACATATATATATATATATATATATATATTGTGACGGTAACGCGTTGGTGTTCGGCTGTTTAAGGCTAGGGGTATGGCCTCGTCACATAGTTATAAAAAAAAATAG